GATGCATCAGTACCTACTTTGAAGAGACGGCGGCGACGACCTATGAGTGCGTCGGACCGGTTTGTGCCCCAGACCCGGTATGTGGCTTGGTCGGGGCCTCCGGCTTTAGATGTTAGGCTAGGTGAGAAGTTTGGGTATTCGGCACACTTTCTGCACCCCTCCATCAATGGATAGGAGTAGCGACAGATGTTGCCAAGATGGCAGCTTCAGACATATTGATGTATTACTTTGCAAGGTCTTTGTGAATAATCAATAAAATGATTGCATGCATCTCCCAGATGCAGAGGCCGGGGGTCATCCTTCTTTTATAAAAAGAAAAGATTGTAATGTGATCTAGGATGTACAATAGTTCAACTCAAAACACAACATCTTGAATTATGGAGTGTATAGTTGTTTCATCATCCCTCTCTGGGCTACTCAATGTATGTTCTACCAGATCTTGACATGATGTGAAGTACATGCTTCACGTCTGCAAAAAGCTTGGAATGACTGCTCTTACTGAGATATGTTCCAATCAAACTTTTTTTCTATACGACCAATTTCTTGCCAGAACTATCCAATTACTCATGATCCCTTTTGCAACTATATACTATGCTGGAAAATTCATGCTATTAACTCCACGCTAACAATGTATTGTCCTGAAAAAAAAATCACCCTACGAGTCTAGTTCATTCGATTGTATCCTCTTGGTGAAACAGAACTGTGGCATTTAGCAGTGCACTAAATATGACTGCTATTTCAGCTTCATGATGAGAGGAAACTAGATTGCGTGCTGAAAATAGATGGTGTTGAGCTTATTGGAATCAATAACCGCAGTTTAGGTACTCCCTCCGATCCGAATTAATTGACACAACCTCTATACAACGTTGCATCAATTAATTCGGAACGGAGGGAGTACAAAGGAGTGTACTCCCTCCGTTCCGAATTACTTGTCGCGGGTATGGATGTATCTAGATGTATTTTAGTTCTAGATACATCCATTTCTGCGATGAGTAATTTGGAACGGAGGGAGTACTTTCTAAGCCCAAAGTTGCTTTTGGTCCGTTCTAGATGATGTTGAAGTTTACTATTCTTTGCAGAGACATTTGAAGTGGATACTCCAAACACAAGGATGTTATTGAAGAAACGTGGTGATATTACAAGGGAGAAGGGCATACTGGTAGGCCATACTTGACTTGTCGTTGGTCCTTTCTATTTTGACTAATGGACTCTCCCTATCCCCCAACTGATTTTATTAAAGAACTCACTGGCATCATTAGTCCTTCTGACTAATGATAGCCTTGTAAACTCCGGCCTCTTAATTGATCCAGCAATATTTTCATGTTGTACGAGATAGATACATACGTATTAAATAAGAACAGGTACAAGTAAGCTTTTGGTTCGTGCTAGATGATGTTGAAGTTTATTCTTGGGAGTAGCATGCTATTCCCTTAGTTTGGCAACATGAAATGCTTAAAGCAAGATTATTTGAATTGGATTTTGCAAGTCACTTTTAAAAAAGGTTGTTGGCGATTCTGGCCTGTTCACTCCTGATGATGTCGCATGTGTGCAGTGCAGAGTGCTGGCGTTTCCGCAGCAAAGTTTTCTTATTACTCCTTCGTTTCAAGCTATCTTCATGCATGATTTCAGTACATATTCTCATGATTTCAGTAGAACCTTCAAGGATCTACGGCAGTCCAGTTCCCCTATGCCAGCATACATGATTCGGTTTCGGGCCATGGACACAATCTGAATACAGGCATCAGTTCAGAGCAAGCAAACCATGGCTCACAATCCTTGTATGCCAACATACATGGTTCAGCGACAGTAGAAAGGAAGTAGAGAAAGATACCACCAACACGAACCATGGTTCACAATCCCTGTCTCCAGTGTTTCTCACACCGGCGAATCGCGATCGGTCTGCCTTTCAGCGCATGTTTTACCTCGTGGTGCTAGAAAGAGGGCCTCCCTCCACACCAGCGATGCCGTTTTTCTCAGTCCTTTCCTACGGCGGCTGAATTCAGAGCGATCCAGTAGACCATCATCATTCTCCAGTGGTCTAGTCACTAAATTGCACAAAACCACGGTCATTTTCTTTTAATCTTTTTGGGGCTTCATTCTTTTCCTCTCTTTTTGCTTGGACTGGACCAGACCTTCTCGTTTTGTCACTTCGGATTCGCACCTATCTCGGCCACTTTCTGAATATAGCTCATGTTTTTGCGAGCAGTAGGTATGGTGCTCAGTCCTCGGTCCTGGCTTGGTTCAATTTCGGCAGCATCATGCATTTCTTCAAGGCCAGGAGACCCTGGTTCAGTCCTGTCTCAGTGCTCCGCGACCTGCAACTGCAAGTCCGTGCTCAAGGAACGTGGCTCTGACTTCAACGGTGGTAAGAATAAGCAACCCTTGAATTGAACCTCTTTCAAAGTGTCCAAAAATGATCCACATCTTTGATCAAAGCTAACCCTTTTCCTTTTGCTCAACACTAGCCTCAACCAGCGTTCAATTTGGCTATGTCAGCAGTAGGTACTCAGGCGTCCACGCACAAAAAAAAGGGCTTGCATGGAACGCATGTAGGAAAATCTTGAGCCGTCAGCCCCAACACCTCGTACTTCCTCCTGTCCTTTTTACTCTGCATATTAAAATTCTCTAGAGTCAAACTTCACAAAGTTTGACCGTATATATATGAAAAAATATCAACATCTACCATGCTAAAGTTATATAATACAAAACTTTAAGTCATGACACATCTAGTGGTTTGATTTTAGATTGTGAATGTTAACACTTTTTTCTATAAAGCTGGTCAAACTTTACAATCCTTGACTTCAGTCAAATCTTATATGCGAGCTAAAAAGGACCAAAAAGGACCGGAGGGAGTACTGTGGTGGGCTTTGCCAGCATGTGATGTGGGACATTTGTAAACAGCGAAACCGCCACGTTTGTTTATCAGGTACCTCGGCCTCGTTGGCCCAGGTCACAGGCCAACGTCGTTCAACCCACAGGTCCCTATATTTCTTACCCATTTATTACAGCAGCGATTATACAGCTAGTGTCAAAGAAACAACATTTCCTCGTTCCACAATTTGTAACACCTTTATCCTGACCCAGTACGATAAAGGGATACTTACAAGCGACTACAAGCTGAAGAACTGTGTGTAGCTGTCTCACTAAGAAGCTTTCCAGATTAGCAAACAAATACAAATTATTCATAACACGTTAATCGGAGAGTTCCATGAATAGCGGGTCACTACTGGTAGAGCTTGTTCAGATCATCTTTAAATTTGGCCTTCAGCTGCTCCCTCTTCAGCTTAAGCGCAGCGGTCACAAGCCCAGACTCTGGGGTCCAAGGTTCAGGCAGCAAAATGATCCTAGCTGGTATTTCAAACTTCTCGAGCCTCGCTGCTTTCGCGGCCTGCACAATTGGAACACACTCTGCGTTAGACAGCAACCAAGAGATGCAAACAGAGCAGATGAATTGTGAATCCACATCTCCGACAAAGATACTTGATATTATCATGAACAAGAATACGGAACATAGCTTAGGACAATGCAATATCTTCTTTTCAACCATAAAAGTTAAGAGTTTTGCACCTAAATTGCTGCAAGTCTGTAAAACCTCAGTTCACAACTAACGTGCCCTCACTAAAATAGCAAAACAGGAAACAATACACACCGAGAGATTTCAACAATATTCATTATTTATTTTGTGTTCTCATGGGACAACATTCATCATATACTTTGTACCCTTTCCATTCCATGCTCTGACATAGCATGAAGCAGCAAGAGGCTCGCAAAGCAAGAGGAAGAAGAAAGTAGGCATCAGCCTGGTAAAAACAAACACAACAAGAGAGCGGGGAAGTTGGAGGATTGATCAAGGGAATGAATACGGCTGACTGCTCTAGATCGCAACGAGGCGTGCCACTAGATCTTAGCGGTACCGTAGTACACTCAGCAATGACCTCAATGGCGGACTGGCGGCATGACTGAAGAACATGAGTTTGAAAACTCTAGCTCATATTTCTCATCTCAAACTTCATGAAGTGGTGAAGAGCATCGTGGGTACTCTGGCAGTGGGCTTCATCAAAGAATAGAAGGCGTTCCTCACAACCAAGTTACATACTCCCTACGTCCCAAAATAAGTGTCTTAACCTTAGTACAACTTTGTACTAACTTTAGTACAGAGTTTTGGGACGGAGGGAGTATTTCCCAAAATAGTTCTTTTAAGAATCAATCCCAAAATAGATTGATTGAATACTATAGGCAAGATCAGATAAGTTTCCAATGCTTCCATCTTAGTCTAACCAGTATAGAAGCGTTGAGAGGTACTCCCTCCGTTCCAAATTACTTGTCAGAGAAATGGATGTATCTATAACTAAAATACATCTAGATACATCCATACCTGCGACAAGTAATTCGGAACGGAGGGAGTACCAAAGACAGGTCTGGCAGGCTGTAATCCTATTAGATACCCTTGCAGGTTCCAAGTAGGTCAGGTCGACATTTAAAGTCACACAAGGGAGGAATGCAGACATCCAGTACAGGATTTTGTTTATTATATTGAACTGCTCATGAAGCCCTGCTCCAGAAAGAACTACTCCCTCCGTTCCTAAATACTTGTCTTTCTAGGCATTTCAACAAGTGACTACATACGGAGCAAAATGAGTGAATCTACACTCTAAAATATGTCTACATACATCCGTATGTAGTAGTTATTTGAAATGTCTAGAAAGACAAATATTTAGGAACGGAGGGAGTACCATATAACCGCTACAACATGAGGCGACACGCCGAGTACAGGCTACATAATTTTCAATAAACTGGAGAACTATATCTGTATATGAGTGTTGTACGTGCTGTAATTAAGTAAGAACTGAACGAATGTGGTAAGTACCCCACTTGGGATCAGATCTAACCTTTGATAGAGATTGCTGGACCTCCTTAATTGCTTGATCATTGTGACACAGCTCCTCAATGTCTTTGTAGCTTATCCCTGAATTTTGAGCCCACTTCTCCAAGGCCTGGTGTGGTGGCACAACCAGTGCAACACAGTAACTATGAAATGGATCAGCATAGACCATGATGTTGTCCACATAATTGCTTGTCTGTAGAGCTGATTCAACCTGGAGAGAGAGAGAGAGAGAGAGAGAGTTAATTACACAGCAAACAGAATGCTCATAACCAAGGTTTAAGAAAAGCCATGGGCGTTAATTGTGCGTTTTGCCACCGCCTTGGCTTTTCTGACCAAAGCACAGACTTAAGCGCTAGGCGTTTTGCTGTCGCCTAGAGCCTAGGCATGCTTAAGCGTGCACCTAGACATGCCTTTTTAAACTATGCTCATAACAGGGCCCAGTTTTATAAACAAACCTTGCCAAGAGATACATATTCTCCGTGTTGAAGTTTTACTATGTCTTTTTTCCTGTCGATGATCTCAACGCATCCATCAGGATGGAACTGGCCAATATCTCCAGTGTAAAACCAGCGTATTCCCCTCTCATCCACCTAAGTGACATATGGCACAATCATGTAGTGAAAACATATAAATACATTCAGTGACTGCAGATGTGGAGATAATCACCTTATACACCTCGTTTGTTTTTGCTTCATTGTTGAAATAACCTTTTGTTATACTGTGGCCACCAATGACAACCTCTCCACGGGGCCTTGGAGAATCAGAAATTCTATAACCACCTTCTTCCCATGAAATAAGCTGCAACCATTTGATAAAAGAGGTTAGAGTGGACAATATATTCTTGGAAGTTTAAGTTTCCAAAATATTATCACAAAATTCATTACAGTGCATGTTATAACATGTGAACCTGCAAGATTTCATGCAAGAAAATGATCAATTGTAACCAAGCAGTAACATAAAAAGAGCTGAATGAATAGTATTGCAATTTAAAGTGTTTAGATCTTGTTCTTTTGTAACTGTGCAGTCATTTTATTCTGGCATGTTGCAAGTTCACATGTAATAGTATTACTTGCATCAAGGAAATTTTACCAGTAGTTTCATAAATTTTGGGGTGCCTCAACGCTCTACCAAGACATCTTAATACAAACAAAAGGAGAACATCACAGGATGGAAGGAAAAGCCAGAGAGTGAAAAGGTCACAATCAACATCTTATGTACAGACGGACTGTGTAATTCTTTTTAAGCATATGTATATAGTATGACATGGCATACATGGATCTGGCCCCATAAGGCCATGTCCTACTCTCTTTGTATGTAATGAGCTCATGCTAATGGAACGAAATGCATGGTTGTGAATCATGGTTTCACCACGCCACCACTTTTGTCAACAACCGGTGTAGAGTGGCTTGGAGGGGTTTGCCTGCATTAGGGACTGAGGCAGCAGGGGCAGTGGAAGGTGCCAGCCTGGTGCTATTAGGATAAAGGATAAGATGAGTTAGGTGGGCATTTGAGTTGTATTACAGGGATCTTTCCTCTGTATCTTCCGTTTATTTTCTGTATAGATGATACGAGCTCTGAAACACTGATATATGCAAACCGATATGAATATACACCAGATAGTTATCCATGATGTATCTGAAGAAATAATAATAAGATGAACATTCCAACACTTCATGGATACCTATCCCGCACATATCTGTACCAGATATGCTATCCGATACGAATAAACAGGTTTTGCAGGTATCAATGTTTCAGAGCATTCAGTTATCATTTCATTGCATGAATGTTAGCTGTATTGTCAAGTACTCCCTCCGTTCCTAAATATTTGTCTTTTTAGAGATTTCAAATGGACTACCACATACGGATGTATATAGACATATTTTGAGTGTAGATTCACTTATTTTGCTCCGTATGTAGTCACTTGTTGAAATCTCTAGAAAGACAAATATTTAGGAACGGAGGGAGTATAGTATTCAAAAACACACCAGGGCCGCTGAATGTTTATCTGTGGAAAACACAAACCTTGACATAGCAACAAGGGAGGGGTGGACCAACACGACCCACACTTGTGTCATCCGATTCAGAGAAAGCTGCTCCAGCGCAAGTCTCGGTCAATCCATAGCCTTGACCAACTGGGACACTGCAATACCAAATAAGCAATGCATAAGCACATGACAAATATAGCATCTCACACTATACAAAAATGTTTGTCAGCCTTCAAGAATGGAAGGATACTTCAATCCTAAAATGTTGTCTGATTAATGTACTTTAGCTTTTAACCTTTCAATTGACAATCTATTCAAGATAAAACAAATTTTGTAAAATTAAGGATCATCTTATCCTACTTACACTGGTGATTTCAACTAATGAACGTCAAAATCATGTGAAAATAAGCTAAGCTTGCTAATTCATACTCCAAGTACCCTCAGGGCCGACTAGGAGAGCAAAGGACTGAGTTCAAAGCTGTCACGAGCAAAAACTAGCCCAAAATAAACTCTGTATGAGCATTATCAAAAGAGAACCTTCAGATGTATTTTTTGTTCAACAAACAAAATAAGCTATCATGCTATATGAGTGACAACCGTATTATTCCTTAAGTCATGATTGAACTTAACCAAGTAATATGGTAAAGTGAAGATAAGGCGATAGGACAAGATTACCCCAGACATATATTTATGAATCTTTGTGTTTCACTTGATAGAGGTGCGCCACCACAAAGAATAAATCTTATATGCCCTCCAAGCATCGCACGTATTGGTTTGAAGATAATGCTATTCCATATAAACCTCTCTGGCGCCCAAGATCCAGTCCAACTCCCTTCGATTGCTCCAAGATTTCGTTTATATGCAACATCAAATAGCTTTTTGGTTATGCCACCCTTCTCAGCAACCTGAAAAGAAAAATGTAGAGCTGAAGAATTTAGAGAAGACACGGCATCTAAGTAAATGTCAAATTACTTTCATCACAAAATGCAAGGATAATAATAACTCCGACCATCCCAACTCCCAAAACTGATGCATGTGACTCTTTGTTATGACCGGCGTCACTTATAGCCGGAGGAGGCCCGTTGGGCGCGTTTAGTTAGGGATGGTCGGAGTTAGCTGTATTGTCATGATTGAACTTAACCAAGTAATATGGTAAAGTGAAGATAAGGATTATATAAACAGATGTAAGGCTACCTTTTGGAATTAAGCAATAAGCCATAACTATTGCTCGGCTCCCTTTAGGAGCCGGAACCCTAAACCCTAGCCGCCTCTCACCGCTGCCGCCTCCTCCCGGGCGATCATGGCGCCGACGCGCCGCCGGCCGCGCCCAACCTCTCGCCAACCCACCTCTCACCCCTACAATCTACGGTCGAGACCAGGTAGGACCCTAGCTCCTATCAATCTGTATCAGCTAGCTTTGGTTCGATCATGTCTACACCGCAGCCCACCCCGTCTCTCCCGCTGCCGGCCACCTCGTCGCCTCCGATGCCCACCACGGCTGTCGCCCCGCTCCTGCCTGCGTCGGGTTCCTCCGTCGCGCCCGCCCCCGCCGTCCTCACCCCGGAGGTGTCCGGGGCGCTGCGGAACCTAACCCAGGCGGTCCAGGGGATCCGCCTGTTCCTGGCCGGGTCCTACGGGCCGCACCCGCCCATCGCCGCCACCGCGCCGCCGTGGCGGCTGCAGCCGCCGCCCCTGGCGGCCTCCGCCGCGTCCATGGGGCCGCTGCAGCTGCCGCCGCCACCACCTGTCAGCTCCGGGCCGGCCCTCATCGCGCCGGCGGGGGTCCCGATCCACCAGGTCAGGTTCCCACCCTCGCCGTCACCGGCCTGGTTGGCCGGGTCGTCGCAGCCAGTCTACACAATGGCCTCGAGGCCGCCGCACGTCCAATCACTGTCGGCGCCAACCCTGCAGTACGGCGGGTCCTCCGGCTCCGTCGGCCCTTACGCCGGCCTCGACGGGCCGCCGTTCCACGAGGGGCCCCCCATGACCACCGACCCGGCGCCGGCCCCCTCGCTGCTCCGCGCCGACAAGACGTACCCCCACGGCGGCCATAATCACACACCGCCGCGCTTCACCAAGCTCAACTTCGCCACCTACGACGGCACCGAGGACCCCCTGAGCTGGCTTAATCAGTGTGACCAGTTCTTCCGGGGGCAACGCACGCTCGCGTCGGACCGCACCTAGCTCGCTTCATATCACCTCCGAGGCGCCGCACAGACTTGGTATTACACTCTCGAGCAGGACAAGGGCGGCATGCCTCCATGGGAGCGTTTTCATGAGCTCTGCCTCCTTCGCTTCGGGCCACCGATACGCGGGAGCCGGCTGGCGGAGCTAGGCCGCCTACCCTTCACCTCCACGGTGCAGGACTTCGCCGACCGCTTCCAGGCCCTGGCGTGCCACGCGCCCGGCGCAACGGCTCGCCAGCGGGCCGAGCTCCTCGTCGGCGGTCTGCCGGATCATATCCGCGTGGACGTGGAGCTGCGGGGACCTCAGGACCTCCAGACGGCCATGTATTATGCCCGCGCCTTCGAGGGTCGCGTGTAGGCATTGCAGCAGGCGTCGCCGTCTCGGGGCGCCCGATAGCCCGCCAGGCCGCCCCCGACACCACCTGGACCGGGGCATTCGCCTCCGGCCCCTACAGCGACCACCACTCCGGCCGCGACACGGCCCTTCCGCCGCTCACCCCGATCGAGCAGCTCAAGCGCCGCCGCCAGGGGCTCTGCTATAATTGCAACGAGCCTTACGTGTCGGGCCATGTCTGCCCGCGGCTCTTCTACTTGGAGGCGGCCGACTACATCGAGGAGGACACCACCGCCGTCGGGCTCGGCGACTTGCCCGCGCTAGTTGCCGCAGAGGTCGCTCCGACAACGGCTCTCGTGGTTTCCCTCCATGCCCTCGCGAGTATACGAGCGGAGCAAACGATGCTCCTGCCGGTGATGGTCCACGGTGAGCGCCTCGTGGCCCTCCTGGATACGGGCTCCACGCATAACTTCCTGCCCGAGTCGACCACGCGCCGCTTGGCGCTACAGCCGACGGGCGGGGAGCAGCTCCGGGTCACGGTGGCTAACGGCGACCGCCTCAGATGTCATGGGATTGCGCTGAACGTTCCCATCACCATCGGCGACAAGCACTTCACCATCACGTGCGCCGACATCGACTTGGGCTGCTTCGACTTCATCCTCGGCGTCGACTTCTTGCGGACCCTGGGTCCCATCCTCTGGGACTTCGACGCCATGACGCTGACCTTCTGGCGCCTGGGTCACCGTGTCCGGTGGGAGGGCGTGGATGGCGCCTCCCCAGCGACGCCGCATCTGCAGCTGACGGCGACTGCTGCAGGGCCTGAGCACCCCCTGTTGGATCATCTCTTGCAGCAGCACCGCGACCTCTTCGACGAGCCCCAGGGCCTTCCGCCAGCCCGAGCATACGACCACCGCATTCACCTCATCATCCGGATCTCTACCTAGTCGTTTTCGGCGCCGGTCCTCCTCGTCCGCCTTGCGGACGGCACGTGGCGTTTCTGCATCGACTACCGTGCTCTTAACACCCAGGCGCTCAAGGATAAATTTCCCATTCCGGTCGTCAACGAGCTCCTGGACGAGCTACAAGGGGCATGCTTCTGCACCAAGCTCGACCTCCGTTCAGGCGACCACCAGGTGCGGATGCACCCAGACGATGTCGTGAAGACGGCGTTTCGGACTCATCACGGCCACTTCGAGTTCTTGGTGATGCCCTTTGGTCTCTCCAACGCCCGGCCGACCTTTCAGGCCTTGATGAACGATGTTCTCCATCCCTACTTGCGCCGGTTTGTGCTCGTTTTCTTTGATGACATTCTTATCTACAGTGCCTCGTGGGCGGAGCACCTTCAGCACGTCGCCATCATCTTCAACAAGCTTCAAGCGCATCATCTTCACTTCAAGCGCTCGAAGTGCTCGTTCGGCACGCCTTCGTTCGCCTACCTCGGCCACGTCATCTCGGCCAAGGGTGTCGCTATGGATGCCGACAAGGTGGCGGTTGTCGCGTCCTGGCCAACGCCGCACTCGCCGCGGGCACTACACGGCTTCCTGGGCCTCGCCTTCACCTGGGATACTGAGGCGACCAGATGCCCGACTTCGACAGGCCGTTCGTGGTGGACTGCGACGCCTCGGGCGTGGGCTTTGGCGCCATCCTTCATCAGGGTGACGAGCCGCTTGCGTTCTTCAGCAGGCCCTTCGCCGCGCGCCATCATAAGCTAGCGGCCTATGAGAGGGAGCTCATTGGCTTGGTGCAGGCCATGCGCCACTAGCGGTCGTATCTCTGGGGGAGGCCGTTCCGTATACGCACGGATCACTACAGCCTCAAGTTCTTATTGGACCAGAGGCTCTCCACCGTGCCGCAGCACCAATGGATCAGCAAACTCTTTGGCTTCAATTTCATTGTCGAGTATCGGTCGGGTCGCCTCAACACTGTGGCCGATGCCCTGTTCCGCCGCGACGCCGACCCCGAGTCGGACGCCATCGGCCCCGCGGGGGCGGCCCTTTGCATCCGTTCGGGGCCCTTCTTCGTCCTCATTGACGACATCCGCCAGGCCTCCGCGGACGCTACGGACGCTCAGCTCCTTCGGCAGCGCCTCGACGCTGGCGACTTGGAGGAGCCATGGCGCTTGGCAGATGGCTTGCTCCTGCACGGGCACCGGCTTTTCGTGCCGGATCACGGCAACCTCCGTCACCAAGTCCTGCTGCTGGCCCACTCCGCCGGCCACGAGGGCGTGCAGAAGACCCTCCACCGTCTCCGCGCCGACTTCTACATCCCCGGCGACCGGGCCCTGGTCCGCGATTGGGTGCGGTCTTGCCTGACATGCCAGCGCAACAAGATGGAGACCCTGCGACCGGCCGGGCTGCTCCAGCCCCTGGAGGTGTCCTCTCAAGTTTGGGCCGACATCTCCATGGACTTCATTGAGGGCCTCCCCAAGGTGGGCAGCAAGTCCGTCATCCTTACGGTGGTCGACCGCTTCTCCAAGTACGCGCACTTCATCGCGCTCGGCCTTCTTTGAAGGCATCATCTGCCTACACAGGTTTCCCTCTTTGATCGTCAGCGACTGGGACCCGGTGTTCACTGGGCATGTCTGGCGCAATCTCTTCCGGATGGCGGGCGTGAAGCTGCGCCTGAGTACGGCCTTCCATCCTCAGACGGACGGTCAATCTGAGGTGGTCAACAAGGTGATTGCTTACAGGTGACCGTCCCCGTGCTTGGGTGGACTGGCTCGCGTGGGCGGAGTACTGCTACAACACTTCATACCACTCCGCCCTGCACGCCACGCCTTTTGAGGTGGCCTATGGCCGACCGCCCCCGCCCATCCTCCCGGTTGACCCCGAACGGCGCAGATGGAGGCGGCTGGCGACCTTCGCAGCCGGGATGAGATGCGTGCGGAGGTGCGCCAATGACTTCTCCAGGCTCAGCAGCTGTCCAAGCACTACTACGACGCCCACCACAGCGAGGCGGTGTTCGCAATGGGCGACTAGGTGTGGTTGCGCCTCCTTCACCGCTCCACGCAGTCCCTTGACCCGCGCGCAAAGCGCAAGCTGGGTCCTCGCTACGCCGGGCCATTTTCCGTGCTGGAGCGCATCAGAAAGGTTGCCTACCGCCTTCAGCTTTCGGCCAGTGCCCGCATCCATGACGTCTTCCATGTGGGTTTGCTAAAGCCCTTTCGCGGGGACCCGCCGGCGACCACGCCGGTACTTCCTCCGACCTCCGACAGGCGCCTTCTTCCAGGACCGGCAAAGGTGTTGCAGGTCCAGCAGCGTCGCGGGGTGTGGCACTTGTTGATCCAGTGGCAAGGCCTTCCGGAGGAGGACGCCACTTGGGAGCAGCTTGACGAGTTCCACCAACACTTTCTAGACTTCCACTCGAGGACGAGCTGTTTGCGCAGGCTGGGAGAGATGTTATGACCGGCATCACTTATAGCCGGAGGAGGCCCGTTGGCCCAACTTATCTTATTTTTATTAGCAGCAAGGATTATATAAGTAGATGTAAGGCTACCTTTTGGAATTTGCAATAAGTCATAACTATTGCCCGGCTCCTAACCCTAAACCCTAGCCGCCTCTCACCACCGCCGTCGCCTCCTCCCGCGCGATCACGGCACCGACGCGTCGCTGGCCGCGCCCAACCTATCGCCAACCCACCTCTCACCCCTACAACCTACGGTCGAGACCCTAGCTCCTATCACTCTTCAAGAGAGTTTTGTGTGTCAGTATTCCCACATGGCTGCTGTATATCTAGTTGCATGGAGAGGAAGATATGGGAAAGAGAAGGGGAGAGGAAGATTGAAATGTTGTACGACATGTGGGCTCCGAGCCATGTGTCAATCTAGGAAAAAAATCCATATTTGAGGCTGCATGTGTGGAAAACCATTACCAAAATGGCAAAATCACCATGGTAAAACTGCCTTGGACACTTAGGTGCACCAGTTTTGAGGCCGGGAGGGTCAGATGTTCAGTTTTACAGTTGAGAGCTTTAAGTTTGCCAGACACCAAATTTGGTGGGGGTAAGTACAGTTTTTCCCGTGCAAATAGCCAAAATGGATTGTATAAGATAGCAGCACATGAAATGACAGTCCAGAATAGAAACTTCAACCTTCTTAAACACTGCATCTCTTATGCGATCCAGAATTGCAGGAACTGAAATCATTAGAGTAGGTTTCAGTACAGAAACATCTCCTTTTGTCCCCTTCTTTATCTTATTTGATGCATCGGTCATTGTCAAGGCTGAGCCATATCCAATAGCAACACCAGAAGCTAACATGACAGACTGCACAACATAACAGCACCATGTCACTGGAGATATTCATAGTAATTCTTATAAATGATGTTTCTGAATGCCAAAATATTACCTCTGCCGCTAGTTCAAAAACATGAGCCAGCGGAAGGTATGCCAGATAAACATCACTTGTGCCAAGGTTTGGAATGGTTGTCCTCACTGCTGCAATTGTGGCCACCATGTTGCCATGCGTGATCATCACACCCTATGTCAAAGGAAACCACCAAATTTAATTGAGGAAAGATGCAAGAGCAGAGTAGAAAAAATATCCAACATTATCAATATTAGCATGCATAGGCAGCAGACCTCCACCAGTTGCGACATGGAGTATTCAGTAGTGGACTCATGCATCCAGAAATCATAACAGGCTAACAAACTCAATAAATAGAACATTTCAAACTTCATAGTTAATACAGTATTTTCTCTCTCAACTTTCCATTGGCTCATTTGAACCTCTGACATTCAGAAGGGACAAGCTGAACCTTCCATTTCATTTTTCTTTTCGCTCAAATTTAATTGATTATTTCATACTATTGAGCTAGTGTAACTAGCTGTATAAAGGGCAACCTGGTGCATGTAGCTCCCGCTTGCGCAGGGTCCAGGGAAGGGTCCTGGTGCATGTAACTAGCTGTATGACGTATGAATTTACTTATCTGTAAATCTTCTGATGTCTGCGAGTAAGTGAGTGACTGAGTGGACTGGGGAAACACGGAAGCACATAATAGAACAACAATAATCAGATTTTTCTTACCAAAGAGAAACTATACAACAGGAAAATGAATCATTTTGTAGGAAACACTAGCTTTTGTTATCCTGTGTGGAGCACATGGAAATAACTGTGAATAATCACAGTTACGAATGTGTTTTTAAAAATGGGGATAACAGTTCAAAACCAAAATTCCCCGAGAATATCTAACCTTTTCTATTAGGATTATCATTTTATAGCACACCAATCAATTTACCTTTTATTTTCATGCTAATGAAAAACGAATACACAAGAAAGAAAAATATCTTCAAGCAGAAGTGTACCTTGGGGAGACCAGTACTTCCACTTGTATACATAATAACTGCAGTATCAGTGCTTGATGGTAGTCTCGCATCTGCATGTGATGTTTTGCCCAACTCCTCAACCGCATTAAAAGATAATGTTGTCAAGTGTTTCAGTTGATTAAGTGTGTCAGCCTCAACAGGTTCATCCTCAATGTAGATAACATGCTTAAGACTTTGCAACTTTGAGCTGACTGCAGGCAGCTTCTTAAGTTGTTTTGAGTCACAAATCAGAGTGGAAACCTGTGTCTGAAGTTCGGCATAAAAATATATATCAGATGTAGGAACACCAGTTAGATTTTTCTTTATTGAAAGTTTGCACTTGTAATTGGTAAAAACCTATATCTTGGATCACATCAATAAATTAGTAAGTTAATCAGGAAAAACATGAGTACTCCCTTTGTATATGTGTCACCATGGGCACAGACCAAGGAAGCACCAACTCTAAAGAGGGAATGCGTAAAAAATAACTTTAAATAACATCCTACAACCAATCAGTAATTCCAGAAGCAATTATGTAGGGGTACAAAGTTGAAACACTATAATATACACTCTTGATTCCCTCAATGACAGATATATTGGAACAGAATTTCCCGAGGCCGGACCAGATATAGTGAAACTACTAATGTTAAAGCAAGGTAAACCATCAAGATTGTGTCAATTGCTGAGGATGATTAAGCAGGCATAAGGTAACCCAGTTGATATGGGAATCCAAGTACAGTTCCGTCCAACAATCCTGTTCGGCTAAAAGCTTAAGCTGTTAAGGGTACTAGAGATGATACCTAGCGTGTTGCTAGGGAATTGGTTGCAATTATCAATGAGATTTTGTTGCATGAAACATTAGTATTTAGATTAACATGAGAATGCATAAGTTACTGTATTTTATTATTGTATAGTTGTGAATATTTATTGAATACGAGTAACATGCATGGTGCATGTTAGGGGTGGGCCTTTTTCCATGCATGGGGGCATGGTGAGTTGGCATAGTTCATATTGAGAAGTGGAGTTAAGTGGGGATCAACTATTTAGGTATACTAGATGTGGCGGTATGCTCATACTTCATCAATGGATATACCTAGATCTACCAATCTGAAAGTAAAGCAACATAAATAGTGGGAATTGGATTGGCTCCCTAGCAGATGAAATATAGTGCAGACTACATATACTTCAGGAAAAAGGAACCAGATCATTGTACCTCGTTCAGTGAATGCACCAGTGCATCCTCGCCGAGAGATGCATAAATTGTTACAACAGTTAAATTTTGTCGAAAGCATCCCTGTCAAAATAAAATATTAGTATTTGCATACAGCTCTGTAATCCTATGAAATGTACAGGGCAATGTTCCAGACATAATATTATACCTGAGCAGCAATGATCCACTCGGCTCTAGTATCAGAAAAGATAGCAGCACGACTATCTAGCTGGTGCCCCATCTTGATGAGACCAGAAGCAAAGTTACATGCACGTTTAAATGCCTCTGCATAGGAATCCCACTGATATTCACCAAGGTGCAGTTTCTCAAACTTCCTTCCATCAGCAGCTTCTATGAATTCACTACTAATCAGTTTTCTTGTGCCAAGACACCGGTGCTGAGTGTACTTTTTGCTAGCCATCTCAAACAGAGCTGCCATTGTGGTGGCACCCTCCCATGGAACTTGAATTAAAGAGGAAAATCTACTGTTTCGCATGGCAAGGCCTGCTTCACCACCAACATCAACTTGCACTGCTCTCTTTTTCACCTTTTTGCTAAACATGGAAGAAAGAAAGATAGGGATAACTATAGCCAGTAAAAGTGCACCAATAACTCCAGGCAGACCATATTCTTTCACCAGTGGCAAATCGCTTGTGGTCAATCTTTGTAAAATGGACATGTTTGGGTTCTCGCCGGTAATTGTTGCCATGATCATATGCTATATCTGAACCATTGACTAGCACTTCACAAATTTCACTACAGAATTGCAAACATATTAATGAAGCATGTTAGTATGCTTCCAGTGAAGTAATAGCTTTCATACACTTGACGGTATATGCATAGCTGCCTCGAACAGAAGCAAAGAATATAAAAGGGTGAATGCAACACCAGAAAATGATCACATACAGAAGTATCACCATAGTCAATGTTATGCATCAGAACAGAAGGAAACTAGTGAACAATGGTAATATTTTAAAAACAAGAAAATTGTCCTTCCTACTATCAAAATTAAGCAACTGTTAACTGTTAGTTGTTACCGATCTATTGAGAACCGGTAGATACTATAAGCTACCAAAATAACCATCGAGAGCATCTACAGGTCCTTGGCTCATGGATCAGTTCCACACCATAGTGCATGTTGAATTGTTGTGCTTTTAGAGCGGGCACTTACAATGTAAACAAGCCAAGATGAAATAATAATTTTGAATTATGAGTAGTTCTTTTGTTTCTCAACCTTCATCAGTCTCATAACAAGTCTAACAGCAATATTAATACATTATGACATTTATCCTGTCAAAAGATCAGTTATTGACAATTTTAAAATCCAAGTAGTTATTTTAGTTCTCATGTCTCCAGCAAGTTCATTGTAGACATTACTGAAGTCCACGATCAATATTACTACTCCCTCCATCCCAAAATAAGTGTCTCAACTTTGTACTAACTCTTTGTACTAACTTTAATACAAAGTTGTACTAAACTTGAGACACTTATTTTGGGACGGAGGGAGTACTTGATAACGAATACACAATCAAATGATCAGTTCACATTTATCTGCAAAAAAACTACAATAGTTCCTTGTAGATTTTGTTTTGTAGTTGCATATTCCTACAGAGGGAACACATAAACGTCACAATGTGACTTGCAGAAGCAACATAAGATAGAAGAACAAGTCAAAACAGACTTGGAAGTTTCCAGTTTGCTTCAAAGGAAAGCAACCATGTTGACCATATCGATGTGAAAGGGAGGTACTCATTCTTCATGTAAATGGATCATATATCAACAAAAAAGATTGTTGAAGAAGCAATCATTAAAATTGGTCAAACTATTGTTTCCATAAGTATATCAATGGGCTCTGATTTGCGCAAAGTGCAACGGAATCCTTTCATGACTACCACAGGAAATGCCAGTTAGAATGGGATTGTGGCAGAAGTATTTGCATGTTTTTTTAGCGTGTCATTTTTATTGAGAAGAAAGCGCGGATGATGTCAACTAGGAACAAGGCGTAAACAGATAGTATCAACCTTCTGAAATTACACTTGGGTGAAAATAAGCATTTGATAGGGTCATTGTTTGTTTGAGAGTTATGAAGTTGTACTAAGTGAACCTGCAATTATGCCTGCGAGGGGTTTCACACGGTGGCAGTGCAAAGCAGAAGATGAATTAATTCAATGCGATCCGATTTAGGTGGTTCATTTACGACAGTAAGGATACCTCCCTCCCCAGAAAACGGCATGATCTGACCACGGGAATCTCCGGAAACACGTGTATTCTGGTACACCTTGTTCATGGCAGAACACGGGGAGACCAGCCAACCAACCAACCAACCAACAGTAATTTCGCGCTGATCCCAAATCCAGGCGAGCTACGGCTGGATCGCACGCGGAGAAGGAAGAACCCTAGACGATTCCGGGAGGAGAGATCTCCACTCCACTCCACTCCACTCCAGCCGAGCGAGACTATGCGGGGACGAATTGCTCGGAGAGGATTCGATCGACAACCGCGTCGCGAAGGGGGTAGCTCCGCGGTCGAAGTCGAACCAACGATGAACCGAGAGGAGGGCGGGGCGGGAGGCTCACCTGCGATGAACCGAGAAGCGGGGGGACGTCGCCTCCGGATCTGCGCCCGCTCGTCGGTGCTGCCAAAGCTTGCAGTGGCTTTACTTCTGGAAGGAATGAATGGCGCTTGGCTTTGCTTCGCCGGCCGGCCTTGTGGAGGAAAGCAAGGAAAGCAACGGCGAGAAAGGAAATGCCGAGGTGGGCCGCGGGTGGGCTCGTGGGTATCGAGAAGGTGGGGGAACGCGTGTGCTTGTTGTTTGTGCGACGTGGCGTGAGAGGCGGGCTCAGCGGGAGTGCAAATGCTTCCAGAAATTTGTTGGCGCGGACACGTACCGGAGTACACGACGCGAGCGAGGCCAGGTCAGTTGCTCACGTGCGGCGATGGCCTTTACGACCGACCTGCCCGAATTATTAATGCGCACCACACGTCAGCCGACTGATCTGGCAGCAACGCGGACCAAATCGGCCATAAATGTCTTGACACAAAAAGTCCATATTGCCCTCCAAACGTGTATCACCGAATCGCCCCCTCACATGTTCGATCGGACAGCTTAAGATGTCTCATCCTACAAACCGGAACAAAACTGAGGAAGGTTTGGGGGAGTTTGGTCATCCGCCATATCGGACTCCAACATGTCAAACCCATCCAAAAAACCCTCTCCTAACCTCGGTCAAAAAAGAAAACCCTCTCCTAACACTTACACTCGCTTTTTGTGCCGCATTTATACCAGGTAGAGTGGACATGACCGGATGCGACGACTTCCTATCTGCATTGCATTCGTGTCGGTTGACCGGTCGTCCGCCTACCCGGCTTTCACACCGGTGCGATGAACGAGAACCCTACTTTGGTCGCTCGCGTTAACTCGATGCTTCGCTTGTCCGGGCTATTTAAATTTGACCACAACACACAAAACCCTACTTCTTCGGCCACCTTCTCCCATCGTTCCAATCCCCGACCTTCCACCCCATCATCATCTGTCCTCATCCATCGCCCGTCGTCGCAATGGTCGGGACCTCTCGCGACCGATGGAGTTGCCACATCAGGCAACCACATTGACGAAATAGCAAGGATGCATCAAGAGACTGAGACATGATGCAAGCGAAAGCTGAAAACACCCCCCTCCATCCCAATATCTATCATAACACTTGAGAGTTGCCACATCAGGTAACCACACGGACGCATCAAGAGACCAAGATCTGCTGCAGGTGGAAGCGATGTCGGTGGCGGGGGCAATTGTAGAGGTGGTCACTATTTTATTTTATTTTGAATAGTTTGGATTGCTTACCACATGTGTTCATCGGGAGTCATTGTCGTGAGAGGAATCATATGAGCGTATGTGCAATTAACGGGATGGAACTGAAATCAATTGACGTGTGGGAAATCATGATATGATTAGGTGTAAGGTACCAGTTGTCTCTCTCACGATCTATTGGAGTAAAAGAGGCAATGGAGCTACATAATTTGGGGATCAGGTAGAACAGAAACGAAGAGGATCAAAGGTAGGAGAAGGGAGTCATCGTGCTGAAGCCGTGATCCATTGGGGGCCTCTATTTGTAGCCTTCTCCCATGTACTTGCAGATGCAATGATGGGTCACGAGCGGAGCAGGCCCAAGAAGCCAGACCATGTACATGTATGAGTAAAGGTTAGGAAGGGCTCCTAACATCCCCCTGTTGGGGAACGTAGCATGCAATTTTAAAAAAAAAATTATACGATCACGCAAGATCTATCTAGGAGATGCATAGCAATGAGAGAGGGAGAGTGTGTCCACGTACCCTCATAGACCGAAAGCGGAAGCGTTTACTTAACGTGGTTGATGTAGTCGAACGTCTTCTCGATTCAACCGATCAAGTACCGAACGTATGGCACCTCCGAGTTCTGCACACGTTCAGCTCGATGACGTCCCTCGAACTCTTGATCCAGCAAAGTGTCGAGAGAGAGTTTTGTCAGCACGACGGCGTGATGATGGTGATAGTGAAGTGATCCGCCCAGGGCTTCGCCTAAGCACTACGTGAATATGACCGAAGGCGTAAACCGTGGAGGGGGCGCCGCACATGGCTAACAATGTCTGTTGTGTGTTCTAGGCGCCCCCTCCCCACATATATATAGGTGGAAGGGGAAGGAGGGCAGCCATGGGGCGCCCCAAGTAGGAGGAATCCTACTTGGGGCCTTGTCCAATTCGGCCTCCCCCCTTACCATCTTTTCCGGAGAGGGAAGGAAAGGAGAGAGAGGAGGGAAGGAAGGGGGACGCGGAATTGCCTCCCCTTTCTTCTCTCTTCCCCTTTTCCTTTCCCCTTCCTATTCAGCCATCAAGGGGAGCGCAGCAGCCCATGCTAGCTGTTGTGTTTCCCCTTTTGGCCCAATAGGCCCAAATCTTTAACGGGGGGTGCCCCGAACCCCTTCCGGTGACCTGATACATATCCGGTACCCCCGGAACACTTCAGGTGTTCAAATACTATCGTCCTATATATGAATCTTTACCTCTCGACCATTTCAACACTCCTCGTCATGTATGTGATCTCATCCGGGACTCCGAACAACATTCGGTCACCAAATCACATAACTCATATAATACAAAATCGTCATCAAACGTTAAGCGTGCGGACCCTACGGGTTCGAGAACTATGTAGACATGACCGAGACACCTCTCCGATAAATAACCAACAGCGGAACCTGGATGCTCATATTGGTTCCCACATATTCTACGAAGATCTTTATCGGTTGTACCGTAATGACAACATACGTTATTCCCTTGGTCATCGGTATGTTACTTGCTCGAGATTCGATCGTCGGTATCATCATACCTAGTTCAGTCTCATTACTGGCAAGTCTCTTTACTCGTTCTGTAATACATCATCCCACAACTAACTCATTAGTCACATTGCTTGCAAGGCTTATAGTGATGTGCATTACCGAGAGGGGCCAGAGATACCTCTCTGATACTCGGAGTGACAAATCCTAATCTCGATCTATGCCAACCCAACAAACACCTTCAGAGATACCTATAGAGCATCTTTATAATTATCCAGTTACGTTGTGATGTTTGATAGCACACAAGGTGTTCCTCTGGTATTCGGGAGTTGCATAATCTCATAGCCAGAGGAATATGTATAAGTCATGAAGAAAGCAATAGCAATAAAACTCGATCATCATGC